TGATCTCTCCAAGGGCTGCGGGCCAGCAAAGCATGGATGGGCCTACATGCTGCAGCAGTTGCACTTGCATCAAAGAAAGGACTCTGTCTGCGGTGCCCTCGGTGAGGCAGCTGAGTCGGGAAGCTGTCCTCCCTGTGGGGACACACGGTCAATGGTGGGACCGAAACTCACGGCTGGGAGCCCAATGATGCTGAATGGCCATCATGCAGCCTACAGCTGTGTTGAGATTGGGGGCCCGGAGGCTTTTAGAGAACCCATTAGCTTGGGAGTGGCAGGGTCCCGGCTGTTGATACATCATCTCTTTCTCTACCTGCGGGCAGAGCCAAGGAGCTTAGTAGCAATAGCAATAGCAGCAGTAGCAGTAGCAGTAGCAGTAGCAGTAGCAGTAGCAGTAGCAGTAGCGGTAGCGGTAGCGGTAGCGGTAGCGGTAGCGGTAGCAGTAGCAGTAGCCACGGACGACCTGCTCAAGCAGACCGTGGAAATGAGAAAAGGGATCAGCGAGGAAACCCTACATCGCTTGAGGAGCTACAAGAAGATGACGGAGCAGCCCACCTCGGAATGGATCCAGTTCCGCATGGAGATCTCGTTGAGGCCACTGGGCGACCCTGTATGGTGCACGCTCCAGAAGTGGATAGGCCAAGCGGCGTGGCACCTGCTGGGGTGCAGATTGTGGAAGGAGCGACCGCAATTCAACACTCTGGTAGACCAAGTACGCCAGGGTCTCTAACCTCATGTCGTGGCCTCAGCCTCAGTCTGCTTTTGCGATTGAACCTCCAGAATCTCCACAATCATTGTTACCTGTTACATGAACGCTTCAATCTACACTCTTCTCTGGACGATTCTTCAATTGCAGCGTCATGGCAATCGCAGTCCAGCACTCCACAAGTGCTTCGACACCCTCACTCCTGACTCCACACGGTCCACTTCTTCTATCCAGGTTGCCCGACTTCTGCCTTGGAGACTGCTACTCGGGCAGTGGCCACAGCTCAACCGGCAGCACGATATTTGTGAGTTCCTCGGATACCTTCCGAGGTGTCTAAGCTGGCCCGCTGACTATGACGCTCCCTGCTGGGAGGCTCGGTCGCTTCAGGGACACACACCTATGCGTGCTGGATCGTGGACCTGCCCATCTACCGATCCCCGTTCCCCTTTGCTCAGGCGAGACATGTCATCTGCAATGGTGCGTGGATGCGTGGCACACGCAGTCCTGCACACATGCCCTGACCGCGCCTGCACCATATCTGTGCTTGCAGCTCCTGCGCTTTCACAATGAGGAGGGGATAATGCAGCGCGATCCACGGCCTCTGAAAGGCCACTTGTCCACAGTACATGTGCCTGTATTCCGAGAGGAAAGTGATGAGCTTCGCCATAACTTGGAATGTACCCAAGCACCCTATCAGGTCGTGGCCATGGCTTTGCATTTTGGGGATGCACCAACTGAGGGGCACTATCGTGCTGTGCTGAATGGCCAGCCTTTCTACAGAGCGAACAGAAGCAGGCATACTGATGACAATCGTGTTGCGAGCAGCTGCACATCTGATGATTTGGAAGTGCAGCGAACTGCAGCTTATGTGATATGGCTTCGCTATGAAGGCTTGTGCTGATGCTGAAGATGCGAATCTGAGTGATCGGATATAGTAGTGTGATGCAGGCAACAGTGCCCGTCACAGATCCCAACAGAGGATCCGTCACGACAAAGACGTGACGCTAGCTCGCTAAGCAGACATGGACGTCATGCGAGTCATGCGGCGTGGGGAATGAAATGCTGCTGCTGCTGCTGCTGCTGCTGCCGCCGCCGCTGCTGCTGCTGCTGCGGCTGCTGCTGCTACTGCTACTGCTACTGCTGCTGCTAAAGCTAAAGCTAAAGCTAAAGCTACTGCTACTGCTACTGCTACTGCTACTGCTACTGCTACTGCTACTGCTACTGCTACTGCTACTGCTACTGCTACTGCTACTGCTGCTGCTATTGCTATTGCTATTGCTATTGCTATTGCTATTGCTATTGCTATTGCTATTGCTATTGCTATTGCTATTGTTATTGTATTGCTATTGCTATTGCTATTGCTAGTGCTAGTGCTAGTGCTACTGCTACGGCTGCGGCTGCGGCTGCGGCTGCGGCTGCTACTGCTACTGCTACTGCTACTGCTACTGCTACTGCTACTGCCTGATACTACTGCTATACTGCTACTGCTACTGCTACTGCTACTGCTACTGCTACTGCTCCTGCTCCTGCTCCTGCTCCTGCTCCTGCTCCTGCTCCTGCTCCTGCTGCTGCTGCTGCTGCTGCTGCGGCTGCCGCTGCTGCTGCCGCTGCCGCTGCCGGTGCCGCTGCCGCTGCCGCTGCAGCTACTGCTCCTGCTGCCGCTACGGCTACTGCTCCTGCTGCCGCTCCTGCTCCTGCGACTGCCCCTGCCCCTGCCCCTGCCCCTGCCCCTGCCACTGCCACTGCCACTGCCACCGCCACTGCCACTGCCACTGCCACTGCCACTGCCACTGCTACTGCTACTGCTCCTGCTGCTGCTGCTGCTGCCGCTGAAGCGCTACCAGCTCAAGCCGTAAATCTGGTTGTGCATGGGAGTGCTGCCAATGCTGCATTGAGACTTGCTAAGTCACGATTTTTTTGTGCACGTCGTGGTGATACAGGCTTTTAAACTACAGGCGCTATACACGAGTTGGCCCTGTCCGAATTCCGGGGGGGAGATATTCACTTGCTAAGCAACTCTGCTCTGCTCCCAAGCGTGAGGGTTGCGGTCTTTTCCGCACGTTGTTGGCAGTCTGGGCGAAAAAACACGGATGGCACAAGGCCTGTCATGTTTCACTCCATGTTCATGAATGGCACAGTTCGCGGAACAGATCTTTGGTTTCTTGAATATTCCGGTTTTACAAGGACACGTTTGCAGCATGTCTACAGATGCTCTCCGCCGTTGCAGCCCCACCCTGCCAAGTGACTGGAAAAGGCTCATGAGTCCCTGTTGCGCAAGCGGCCGATCCCTTTAATGCCTCCAAGTTTTGCCTCTGGTCTTCGCAAGCTGAAATCGGATGGCACTGGCCAATGCTTGTATTTGGTTCGGTATTGCTCACAGACTCCACGGAAGTTTGCTTGTTTCGCACTACCAGCTTCGCATGGTCGCAGATACTTGCCATGGTCAACGAAAGGGATGTTTGTTTACTTCTACATTGATATAGCCAGGGAAAGCCAGTGTCTACAGTGGTCCCACCTTGCTAGGTCTCTGGGTCAAGCAGCGAACTTCGAAGTCCAACTAACAACTACTCAACAACAACACAACTTCGCTTTCTACGCTGCAAGTACTTGTACGTGGGAGCTTTGTTCTGGGGGGAGGCGATCTCCTTAACGTGCAACCTGGTCATAGTATTGATCCTCGGAAGCTGTGGAATGCTGGCGCTCTGACATGCGTCATGCACCTTTATTTGCCTGTCCTTTACTCACACCGAGCTTTTTTATTCAAATTGCATCTCTTCCAAGACGATGGCGAGCCAGAAGCTGGGCAATCAGTGCAATGGTCTTAGCCCCTTTATTCCAAGTATCCAGGCCGGGCGTGTCAGGTCTGTGACTGCGCACTCAGGATTGCATGGGCTTGCAATCGTAGTTACGAATCTGGATATTTGTCTAGTAGTCCCGTTCGTCGGGTAAAGCCGGACATGCTGTCTACTTGCCAACGAGTAGTCCCGTTCGTCGGGTGAGGCAGTTCTGAGGCGTAGTAGTCCCGTTCGTCGGGTGAGGCCACGCCGAATGCTACTGCTGCTGCATGGGAAGAATGGCCCTCTGTGGCAGCGGTGGCGTCCCTTCGTAGATTAATTCCTGACTGGAGGTCTGCTGTACTTTCATGGTTGCATAGGGTCGTAAGCTTTAGTTTTTAATGCATTTGCTGTTTTTTTTGCTTGACACAAGCTCAGCAGTCGAGCAAAACCCGCAGGTTCTGTCATGGATGCCGCTAAAATTCTGTGTTGCGAACAACTGCACGTGCCGCGTCCTCGGACCGGCGTGCAGGTGCATTTTTGCGCTCCACGGGCTGAGTCCACGGACCGAAGCAAATCTTGCTGAGCTTGTGGCAGATTGCTGCGAGGCAAGACTGCCAGCTATGGGGCCGTTACTAGCTGCTTTGCTCGGTTTAGTTTGGCCCGTGTGTTGTTTTTCTTTGCTGTTCCTTGGTCTAGCAAGGTCAGTTTGGATGTTGGTTTGACAAAAACTTGCCCCATAGCTGGCCATTCATGAGCATTAGTCAGCATTAGTCGTCATTAGCCCGATGCCCACCAAGCTGCGGGACCACCCGCACGAGAATCTGAATGAATGCTGCTGCCGCTGCTACTGCTACTGCTACTGCTACTACTACTACTACTACTACTACTACTACTACTACTACTACTACTACCCCTACTCCTACCTCTACTCCTACTCCTATTGCTGCTGCTGCTACGACTCCTACTACGATTGTTAAATTTTTTTTGTTTTGTAATAATAGTAGTAGTAGTAGCAGTAGCAGTAGCAGTAGTAGTAGTAGTAGTAGTAGTGGTAGTAGTAGTACTGCTACTACTACCACTACTACTGCTACTACTACTGCTACCTCCTATTACTATACTACTACTACTACTACTACTACTACTACTACTACTACTACTACTACTACTACTACTACTACTACTACTACTACTACTACTACTAGTACTACTACTACTACTACTACTACTACTACTACTACTACTACTATTACTACTACTAGTACTACTACTACTACTACTACTACTACTACTACTACTACTACTACTACTACTACTACTACTACTGCTACTGCTACTAGCTACAATTGCTACTACTGCTACTACTGCTACTACTGCTACTACTGCTATTACTGTTACTACTGCTACTGCTTCCACTGCTGCGGTGCCGCTCGTAGCACTCAGCCATATCCTCTGCATTTCTGAGTGAAGCCGGGGAGAGATGCTTCTCGATAGCCATGTCCACCGTCCGGGCCCCGAGCCAGGATCCGAGACGTGCCTCCGATGCGACGATGGCCATTGACATGCTGAGCGTCTGGTTCCCATCCGGACAATGTGGGGTTAGGGTTTCACGAATTTCTTGGCTGTAACGCTTTAACCTGCTGCAATTTCTTCCGTGATTAGCCCAAGCTCAATCGGTTCGTTTTTTGAATTCGTTGCTTATTCATTGAGGCTTCACCCTTTGAAAATGTTTGTCTTCGACTGGTCTCAGTACGCAGGGGTGGTTTGCTCCACTGTCGAAACTTAAAGCAAGCACTCGCCCAGATTTGCCGGGCAACCGGTGACAGCCCGACGGTTTCCAACCCATACTGACCAGCCACAGCCCAAGCAGACCCCGGTTCCGATAAGGTCACAAACTTCCGGATAGCGCAAACAGTATTTTCGCACGAAGCCCAACAAGGCTTGTCGAAGCCATCCGACATTTTCGCCTAGCGCAGAGTCCTTGGAGCACGAATGCCTTCACGAATTTGCCGACCAGGATCGAGAACTAACTGCCACCTCAGGCACAGCAGCGCTTCGTGAGAAGAAGGGGGCAGGCAAGAGCGTTCACGGGCCTATGACGGTATGATCGGCATTTCTGAGGTGGGGTTCGACATGTTGTCCCTGGTTAGTTTCAGTCAGTCGTTGGAGCAAGCAGGCACACACGGTTGCAAGCGACCGAGCCTGGGAGCCAGCGAATCAGCGAGTGCAAGCGAGCAAGGGAGGAAGGAAGCAAGCAAGCAAGGAAACACGGAAGGAAGCAAGGAAGGAAGCAAGTAAGGAAGCAGCAAGGAGGCAAGCGAGGAAGGAAGCAAGGCAGGAAGCAAGTAAGGAAGCAAGCGAGGAAGCAAGGACGGCAGGAACCAAGGAAGGAAGCAAGCAAGGAAGCAAGGAAGGAAGCAAGGAAGGAAGGAAGCAAGGAAGGAAGCAGACAACGAAACCAGCAAGCAACGAAACCAGCAAAGAAGCAAAGAAGCAAGCAAACAAGCTTAATAAGGCAAGGAAGCACGGCATCACCACCATCGCGACGACTACTGCTACTACTACTACTACTACTACTACTACTACGACTACTGCTGCTACTACTACTACTACTACTACTACTACTATTACTACTACTACTACTACTACTACTACCTATACCTACTACTCCTACTACTACCTACTGCTACGTACTACTACCTACTACCACCACTACCACTACCACTACCACTGCCACTGCCACTACGACTACTACTACTACTACTATTACTACTACTACTACTACTACTGCTACGACGACTACTACTACCACTACTACGACTACTACTGCTACTACTACTACTACTACTACCATACTATGTACTACTACTGCCACTATTACCACTATTACCACTATTACCACTATTACCACTACTACTACTACTACTACTACTACTTCTAGTACTACTACTACTTCTAGCACTACTACCACTATTGCTACTACTACTACTACTACTACTACTACTACTACAACTACTACAACCACTACCACTACCACTACTACTACTACTGCTACTACTGCTACTGCTGCTGCTACTACTACTACTACTACTATTCCTACGACTACTACGAGTACTACGACTACGACTACACTCCTACTCCTACACCTACAGCTACTCCTACTCCTGCGCCTACTCGTACTCCTACTGCTACTGCTAACGCTGCTGCACCTGCGACTGCTCCTGCTCTGCTTACTAATACCAACTGCTACTGCTACTGCTACTGCTACTGCTACTGCTACTGCTACTACGACTAGTACGACGACTACTACTACTACGAGTACTACTACTATTACTACTACTACCACCACCAGCTTAAGTACTACTACCAGCACTAGTACTACCACCACCACCACCACCACCACCACCGCCACCACTACTTTGCTGTTACTAGTTCAGAAGCAATTCAGGCAGCAGTAGCGGCAGAGGTAGAGGTAGTATATGTCGAAGTAGTAGTGGCAGTTAGTAGTCGTCGTCGCTTTTTATTGTTGGCCACTGTCGCCGGAATTGTCGTCGCGGATGCATCCATTAGGCAGAATGGGTCGGGACTTGAATTTTTTATTCCTCCACGTGTAGCGCGCACACGAAAAACTTCCAAAACTGGCAACAAGCAATCAAAGCTAACAGCTTGGCTTCGATTCCGTGTTCAAGCCCCCGCCATGAAACAACCGTATACCCTAAACCCTAACAAAACCCAGAAACAGGTTACGAAGTGCTGCTTCTTTGAGACAAGCCAGACTAGCCATGCGGTCACGGGCTGAGAGAAGACGAGCCTGGTTCGACGTACAGGATTCCAAGATTTTAGTGTTCCGCTGTATTTCATTTACCATAGAGGTGTTATCAAAGGGTTGAGTCAACTCAGTTTCTTTGCCGTGACCTCGGTTGGGCTTCGCCGGCTAGGATTTGTAGTATCCTTAAGGGAGGGGGGTCCAAGGGGGGTATATAGCCTAGTGATCCCTAATCCTCCCTAGTACTCCCTAAGGTTCCCTGACAGCCCCCTAAGGATTCCTTATACCCACCCCCCTTGAACCACCCTCCCTTAAGGATCCTATAAAGGATGGCGTGTTTGGTGAGTGTAAGAGAAGCTGCAAGCGACAAGACTCTGAGACCCCTGAGCGAGGGGTTCACTCCATGGACCTGGAGTCCGAAGCCCAAGCCCTCGACCACTCGCCCGCGTTGAACCCTGAACTCCTAACCCTAAACTCAGCCAGCTGCTCTCCAACTCACCAGGACCAGACGCACACCAGTGCGGCGATCAATCTTTGCAAAGTGTTGGAGGAGTCGGTCCGATCGGTGCTGAAGGACCCGGGATGACTATGGGCTGAGCAGGATTGATGAATTGTGTTAAGAGTGGTCTGTGAGGCTTGTTTTTAGGTCACATTGGTGTTCAGGTTCGGATGCGGTTTAAGCCTTAGCAGGAGGTTTAGTGCATGATGTTGAGGCGCGGCACATGGCATCTGGCAAGGGTCTGCTTGCAACAGCTGCAGATGTGAAATGACACAGGTGTCAGAACGTTCCGCATGTTTGAACGGTTTGGTATTCCTGGGAGAGATCCAGTCTACGGCTTGCGGTTTCGAATTTAGAGTGCAGGGTTCGATGTTTATCTTTTTGGGCAGGGCTTTGCAGCAATTCGGTTGGGATTCCCGGTGCAAGTTTCAAGACCAATGGTGCGGCCTGAACCATCCGGTTTGCAGGCATTACTGCATTCGGACGTTCAATCAGAGAAGCCGCTTAGAAGCACGGCACTAAAGCGACAGCCGTAGGGCACAGCCCCAACCATGACTCGAAGCGGGAACTTCACACTTGCAGCTGAATGAACTGTCGGACATCCAGCTTATCATGGGTTGTAGATTTGCCAGTAGCAGCACTTGTGTTGCCAGGTTATTGCGGGGAGACGGACAAGCTGTTGAGTTGAGCTCGTCCAGTGCACCAGCACAACAGTCGGCATGCTCTTTCAGCACAACTCCCTCTCAAAGCAGCCACTCGCTGTGACAAGCGCAGCTTTGCAATTTTGTTCAATGGTTCATATAAACTTCAGAGTCAACAAGAACTGTGTCGCTCGTTGTCATGTCTCTACTCAATTTCAGCCTTGGGCCACAGGAGCCTTGCCACATCTTAGCCTGCTCAACGTTTCTCTTCAGCCCAGCGGCCCAGTGGTTATGTCGGGAAGGTAGCATTGCAACCGACACCCGTCGGCGTTGGCACCGTGACATCGTTGTGGTGCATCTCCCGGAATTTTCCTTTGAACAATGAAGCAGAGTCACGTGATGCATGCGCAACATTCGCACTGTGAACCTCGAGGAACTGTGGGTCTCCGTGTGTTCGTCTGTTTTTGTATGTGCTTTTCTCCCTTCTTTCTTTGGTGTGTCTCGGTCTCGTCTACCGACACCGGCATAGGCATGACCAGTTAAGTACGGTAGGTTATCTCGTCCACCAGCACCGTCGTCTACTGCCATTTTCGCAAAGCCAGTTGTAGTTGCCTGAGGAAAGACATTGGGCGCATACTTTAGCACCGGTTCTGAAGTGGACCTTGGCAAGAGAGGACCTACCGATGTTTGCCATCCAAGAGAACGGAGATTCTGCGACGCACTCGGCACAGCTTGAAGTGAAATCACGTTAAATGGGTTCTATGGAGGTCGTGAGGTTCGAGGAAGGGAAGCCCGAGAACTTATCCGTTGCCTGACAATGTGACTAGTTGAGACAGGGGCGGGCGTCGCCTTTCCGCTCAATCCAGGCTAGTTTTGGACCTAGACTACGTGACTACATATCCCCGAGGCAGACGGTCTCATGCGCCCGAATTTTTGCGATGCTGCAGTCTACTTCGTTCTGCAAGAGCGATGCAGACATGTTCATAAAGACTTAGGCCAGCCTGGGAAGTTGTTGTCGTTATTCTTGCGTCGAACTATGTCGAACTGTTATTAAGCGATCTAGTTTGAAAATCGGTTCAACCGCTGCTATGCCCGACCCAGTACTAAATCCCATAAAATCATGCATCTGAAGTTGGAAGCTTTCATAGAAGTTAGGACAATGGCCGCGGAATGTTCAGAGCATGCGTAGATACAGGTTGCACAACCACGCCCCGCGTCGTTTTCAGGCTCAGAGACCCCGGACTTGTGGACCTGCAGACCTGGAAGATTTAACCGCGAGTCCTCCTATCCAATCTCGACGTTATATGAGTCGCTCAGGGTTCCGATGTGCATCACTGTTGGTAAGGTTCACGGTGTGTGTGTGTGTGTGTGTGTGTGTGTGTGTGTGTTTGTGTATGCGTGTAATGCGTATGTAGTCTCCTAGTTATCGGCTAGGCAAGTCTGGAATTGGGAGGTCATACTTCTCGCTCGTAAGAACTGCCCTGTGGTTCAATGCTGATCTCCATGACCATTTTGGCGATTAGCCGATCGGCACGGATTTTCGATCGACGGCGTGGGAGAGGTAAATCCGTCGACTTGGTGCAATGCCGTTCCCTCCCGCAGCCCCTTATTATCAGGGCCAGAGCCAGGGCGTTCCCCAGTTCCGGTTGCCCCGCCGGTTGCCAGGTCACGACGATGGCGGACAGTGGGGTCTTTATACTGCGGGGCAGGCTCAGGCAGCCCCTCCTGCCTCATCCGGCGATGGGCCCGCTCGGGCCAGGATGATCGCCGACAACGACGACATGGCCAGCAGGCTCCACCTGCGGCTCATGACCCGTTCGTGGTTCAGAAGCCGGAGTTCGTGGAGCTGTGGTTCAGAAGCCGGAGTTCGTCGAGCAAGTGGTCATCGAACAAAAGGATTCAGCTCGGAATTCCATGCCTTTGCTCGGTAACCGGGACGTGGGACTCATCAGTCCTTTTCTGAATTGGCTCGTGGACGAGATCATGTCCAATGCCACGAGCTCCATCAATGTGCTTACGGAGCGTAATCAGGTCATGCCGCCGAACTCCGGCTACCACTGCTCGCTCTTCGCGAACTACACGTTGGACGGGATCAAGGCGGTGTTGGTGTTCACCATGTCGTCTCGAACGGGAGGTCCTTGTGCTCAGTGGGGCTCCGATGCCAGCTGGGCGCTGTCGCAGTCGACTTTTAGCCGATCACTGACTGTCCTCTCCGGCACCTGCTCCGTGGGGCTCCGCACGACCAGAAAGTGCAAGGGCTCTTTTTTCCATGAGGCTCAGTGTCCCAAATTGTGGCTGGCACCGATGGTGGGTGATACCGCCCCTTCTCATCGTTGGGCTCCCGATCGGCGACCCGCTCAGAATTCTTGATCCATCGAGGGCCTGGACCTTTCGAGAGAAGGTCTTGAAGGCGGTTCGCTCGGCTGCTATCACTCAACATTCCGTAAAGGTGTGGGCAGTTACTGTAGAGGCTGGGTGCAGCGATCGGCCCCTTCTATGACATCGACGAGGTAGGCACGAACGACGTCGGCATCGAGCTCAGCGTTTTGAGTGAAAGGGTGGATCACGTCGAGGGCGAAGGCGATCGCTTCACCGGGTGGCAGAGCTCCGACGTGATCAAAGGTTGCAGGTTGCACCACAGCTGGTATTATTGTAGGCGATCATGGTGGGGATCTTTGACCGGGACGGGAGTCGCGTGAGCCCGCTTCCTACCAGCGGGAGGAGTGGCGAGAGCGAACTTGGGTTTCCAGTCGAACTCGTGATCAACGGTGTCACCCGCGTACCTGTCCAGGGCACTGTCATATGTGCAATGCAGACTTGGCGTCGAACTCAATTTTGCCGTCGTTAAACGGAATGATCACTCCCGAGATAGGACGGCCTTCGATGTTCATGACGTCGGGGCCGGCAGGGTCTTCCACGCAGAGCTCGCCTTCTTCGAACGAGCTGATTTCGAAGACCACGTTCGGCAAACATCGTTCTCGGAATCCCGACAAGATTCGGGAGGGAAAAGGTCGCCCTGCAGCACGTTCACGAATGCACCGGGTGAGGACCTGGATACCTACGCACTTCCGTAAATTCTGAGCCAATCAGGTCATCTCAATGTTGATGCGCGGTGCCCAACAGATGGGTTACTCCAGGGAAACCCACCAACTTACGTCAACGAGGTCAATCTCCACAAGAGATGCGCCGCAGCTGGTATGCGGTAGTATATATGTATATATGTATGAGAGAGGCGCCTCTAGGGTCTATTTTACGCTCTATTCTTTTCTGCATGACTACCATTATTTAAAATAATTGAAATAATTGAAACAAATGAAATCAGCAGAGTTGATTTCAATTATTTCAATTATTTAAATCCGCCAAATGGCCCAAATAATTGGAATAATTGAAATAATTGAAATCGATGGTTGTTCTGGGCCAAGCCACGAATCCCACCGACTTGAATTATTTAAATAATTGAAATAACTGAAATAATTGAAATGGGGGGGGTTCAATTATTTCAACTGTTTAAATCCGCCAAAGGCCCCAAATATTTGAAATAATTGAAATCCCCCCCATTTCAATTATTTCAATTATTTAAATAATTTAAATCCCTGGATTTGGTGGCTTGGGCCCACCGAACCTTCGGATTTCAATTATTTCAATTATTTAAATCCGCCAAAGGGCCCAAATAATTGAAATAATTGAAATCATTGTCTGTTCTGGGCCAAGCCACGAATCCCACCGATTTGAATTATTTAAATAATTGAAATAATTGAAATAATTGGATTTCAATTATTTCAATTATTTAAATCCGCCAAAGGCCCCAAATAATTGAAATAATTGAAATCCCTCCCATTTCAATTATTTCAATTATTTAAATAATTCAATTCCCTGGATTTGGTGGCTTGGGCCCACCGAACCTTCGGATTTCAATTATTTCAATTATTTAAATCCGCCAAAGGGCCCAAATAATTGAAATAATTGAAATAATTGAAATCGATGGCTGTTCTGGGCCAAGCCACGAATCCCACTGATTTGAATTATTTAAATAATTGAACTAATTGAAATGGGGTGGATTTCAATTATTTCAATTATTTAAATCCGCCAAAGGCCCCAAATAATTGAAATAATTGAAATAATTGAAATCCACCCCATTTCAATTATTTCAATTATTGAAATCCCTGGATTTGGTGGCTTGGGCCCACCGAACCTTCGGATTTCAATTATTTCAATTATTTATATCCGCCAAAGGGCCCAAATAATTGAAATAATTGAAATCGGCCCCATTTCAATTATTTCAATTATTTCAATTATTTAAATAATTGAAACGCTGGGGTTCTGTGGATGGGGCCCACGGGTGCTCCTGGCCCACCACCTTTCTCCTAATCCAGCCCCCCCCTCCCTAAACCCACTCCCCCTCACCCCCACTCCACACCTCACTACCCACCCCCCTGTCTCGGCCCCTCCGGCACCCGCCACGCCCACCACACACACCCTCCCCGCCAACCACCACACACCACCCACCACCCACCACCCACCACCCACCACCACCCACCACTACCCAGCGCCCGCCAGCCACCACTACCCACCACCCACCACCCACCACCTACTCCTCCCCATCATCGTTATCACCATCTTATTATCATCTATCATCGGTTTATCACCTTTAGCACCTTTTTATCACCTTTATCACCTTTATCACCTTTTTATCACCTTTTATCACCTTTTATCACCTTTTATCACCTTTTTATCACCTTTTATCACATTTTTATCACCTTTTATCACCTTTTTATCACCTTTTATCACCTTTTCATCACCTTTTATCACCTTTTTGTTTACCCTTTATCACCTTTTTGTCACCTTTATCACTATTTTTATCACCTTTTTATCACCTTTTTATCACCTTTATCATCTTTTTTATCGTTCTTTTACCATCTTTCTTATCCCCAAACCCACCCCCACCATTTAGCTATGTCTATGACATGACGAGGCTCGCTGGATCTACATGATGTATAACTTCAAAGACGAGGCCGATCGGACATGTTTATGCACTTCGGGTTAATGTGAGACATACTGTCGTTGATAGTGGACATGAGTTCGGCAGTCGCATCATTGGTAGCGGACACAAGTGGTGAGATTATATGACTGGCAGGGAACGCAGATGTTCATGAAGCCGTCTAATCATTCAAGCTTCTTCCCTGCCCATCTCCCCATTGACTTTGTCTGCACGATGGCAAAGACAAAGGATCTGGCGGCCGTGAAGAGATCCTTGCGCGTCGCACGTGCCGGATTCAACAAGGCAGCAGGGGATTTGGAAGCCATCATCAAACGACGTGTCCCCAAATGCAAGAAGCACTTGAGAGCGGTCCGGCAGATGGAGGAGAGGGTAAAGGAGTTGGGGGGGGAGTTGTCCGACGAGGTCCTCTTCCAGGAGTTCGCTCCTCGGAAGCGACTCCTCGGACCACTCCAGCGACCCCAGCGACTCCAGCGAAAGCGAGGCACAGGCTCCGATGGAGAAGGCAGAGGCCAAGCCTGTTGCGGCAAAGAAGGGGAAGAGTGAGAAAGGTGACGGTAAGGTGGTACCGGGGCCCGCTTCGAAGAAGCCGCCCCGCCGGAGCAAGAAAGATTTCTCGGTCATACCGCCGGGGGAGGATGCGCCGCACCACCGAGGGAAACCAAACGCCGAAGGCGTGCGGTATCCAGGTTTTCATAAAGGGCACCCGCAGTACTG